GCCTCCCCCAGGGGTGCATGCTGCACTGGGGAGCCTCCCACCCTTCTCACCCTCCCTCCACACCTCCTGAATGAGCTGCCTGTGGCTCCATCCTGCATGCTGTCCCACCCCAGCTGGGCAGCACCTGCCCCTGGCCAAACCCCACTCCCTTCCTCACTGCGGGGGCCTCAATCTGCTCCCCCCACACACCCCTTCACCCCCACAGATTTACCGGCTCGACACTGCTCTCCAAGCTGCCTGGCTGCATTCCTGTCCACATGAATGCTGTGGCTGCACGCATGCACATGGCATTTATCAGTGATATTATCAGCTGCACCCACCAAAAAAAGCCAATTCCAATAATGTCAATTTTCCTTTTATCAGTGCCTATCCAATATGGACCGATATACTGGTACACCTCACAGGTAATAATTATGGTATACTGATGAACTCCTGAAGGTTCCTCAATTATTATACTGCTGCTGTTCTATAGACAAATTAAGAAACCTTGCTAATAACAATAAAAAAAAAAAAAATTAAGCCAAGGAACTGGAAGTATATTAATGACTTCCTCAATAGCCAGATAACCCAAAACATTTGATTTTGGGGGTCTTGTATGTTTAACTGTTGGTATAGATTGGGTTACTTAAATGTCATTTATTGCATTAGTGTAACATTAATATTCCTCCAAAAATTAATTACAAAATGTTTCAAATTCTGTATTTTCAGAAAGCAGTAGAATTTAAACTATGGGGGGTTTAAGCCTCCATAAGTAACAGTATCATATTAGTTCCAACTTTTTAAAATGCTGTAGCAGGGCACTAAGGTGTGCCTGCTCCTTCAAGAGCAGAGGCAGCTTAGCTAGGGAGCCCTGAGAGCTAGGCAGGGTTCCACAACTGCAGGTTGCCATGGCAGCAGGCTAATCAGGGTATTAGCTGGCACCTGCACCCGGTCAGGCGACTGGAAGGAAACAGGGCCCTGGGCATATATAATTCCCAGGGCTGGGACTAGCAGGGTGTTAGTTTTCTGTCAGCAGCCATGGGGAGGGAGCTGTTGCAGAAATGCTACTTGGAGATGCTTGGTTGCCTATTCTGCTGCTGGTAAGACTACTGGGCTCTAGGAGCTCTTAAAGTATCTGGGGCTAGGAGGCACACATGGTTGAGGGAGAAGTTCGTCTTCTTAAAGGGGCAGAGTGTGATCTCCAATGTTACTGTTGTTGTTATGATATAGCCCAGGGGCTTGTATTTTTTATTTGAATCTGGTGGACCACAATGAGGCTATCTGAGGAGAAGAAGGCCTCATTAGGTTTGCAAGGAGCCTGGCGCCAGTGAGGGCACAGCAACAGGGTTGCAGGGTGTCCAGTGCCAGTGAGGGCACTGCTACAGGGGGTGGAGAGATCCTGGCACCACAGGGCACCAAGGGCTCAGTGACAATACAGGGCTGAGCTAGACTGCAGCCTTATCAAGAGACAATGGTTATATATAATCAGTGAGGCATGGGGTGTGGTAAAGGGATGGTTTTAGAGCCATGCTTCTAGCCCATAAGGCTTAGGGTGTCTCGAGAAGCACTGACTTTGAGTGACACCCGGCAAGGGATCCAAGATCAGCAGGATCTAGTGGGGTTCAGCAGGACCATAACCACACAAACTCTGGGCAGCCTCCCAACTTCTTATTTCAACAACAAGATGTGGCAGGAGAGATTTAAAAGGTGCCCGCAGGATGGAGCAGGCATGGTCACAGAGCCCCAAGATCATCACAGCTATCACTAGGGACCCCACGCCATGACAGTTAGTCATAGGAATTCCAGAAAAAAGGAAAAATACTGCAAACAACATGGTAACACAACTCCGGTAACAGTGCCAGATTGTAAGCGCAACTGTATTCACACTACACTTAATGTAGATTGTTGTGTAAAAAGGACCAGTCTTTTGTGTTACACTAATGTCCATTTTCTTCAGGGGGATGATATTTTTAAAAGAATATTACCAAAGAGGAGGAAAACAAAAATTACTTTTTAATTATATCATTAACCCTTATCAGTAGATACCTACTGAATTCACAGAAGAAGTAGAGTGCGTGGTGGCTCCTTTGAGCTTGCATCTTTCACCATGTACACCTCGCCCCTTGCCCCACCAATTCACTGCTTAGTGAAGGACCCTGCTACTCCCTCCTGATCAGCAGGGAAGCTAAAACTATGGTTTTAAACATGGCCCTGTTTTTGCCTCCCTGTCAGCAAACTGCAGGGCCATCCAGGGCCCCTCAGCCAATCAGTGGCAGAAGGCAAAAACAGAGCCATATTTAAAACTGCAGTTTTTGCCTCCCTGCTGGTCAGGAGTGAGCCACAAGCAGAGTCCTCCATCATTCAGCAGAGCTGGGGGTATGGGGTAACCTGCAAGATTGAAGTGTAGTGCACGGTGGCTCCTTTAACCATGAATTCAGTAGGTCTCTACCTATTAGCCTTCTAATGGGGATTTTTGTCAGCTACAGTTTCTAACAGACAATTGGACTAAAAAATATATTTCAAGAATAAAATAAGCTCCCAAAGTATCCTTAGTTCAAGCATTAATCTGAATCTCTTCAAACCCAAGATTACCTCAAAACAAGACAAAGCTTCTGAAGCTACTTTCATTATTTCCAATTATGAACTACACAACTGATGATTCACTTATTGGAGATGATATAAGAACGGTGAACGAGAGGATTTTATTGGTTGTCCAAAAGACAAAATTTTGCATAATCACCATTTACTACAAACTTACATTTCGAAATCTGACAAACTCTGGTCTTCAGATGTTTGACTCAAATCTCCAGGGACCTGCCATAACAAAAAGAAAAACAACCACAGTTACTATGCTTTCTATAAGTGAGGTTAGATACTATATGGAAATTACTACATTTAGTTTTTAGCATGCAACTGAAAAGCTGTTATTGTAAAACAATAAAAGAAAAAAAAAAGACGGTATTAAGGTAACATAATGCAAACATTCCTTCATTGTGCATCTGCAGTTTCATCAAACCAACTGCTAATTCCATTTTGTACAAGTACACAACTGTTGAGACAAAGAATTAACTAAAATCCCAGACCAAAGGAAAAACATGACCTCAAACAAAGTGCAAAGTATATGTCAACACCTGTTAGAAGAGATGAAGGATTAAAACCTGGTGAATGTCTTTGTTATACCAAAAAGAAGTCCTTTTCAATACAAAAAGAACACATGATCATTTCCTTCTATCTTAGCTCTTACAAAAAATTAATGTGTGTGTGCAGCTCTCTTTTGGGAGAGGGTGAGATTTAAGGAGAGAACCACAGAATTTGTATTTACTGAACAAGCGATACTTGTGAGATAAGAGAAATGAAAGAAACATTTAGAGTTGAATCACTGACGGACCAAATAGGATTTTTCTACTTCATTGTGAAATCAGTTGAACTTGCTGTTCCTCAGCCTTATGTACGGTGCAGAATCATAATCCGGTGGAATGGGTAGTTTCTGTTGAAGAAGGGGGATGCAAGATGCTGAGATTTCAGCACACAATGTCTGTACCTACCATACATGAGATAAGTACGACTATACAGGGCAAAACTCTTCTGCCCCCCTCTCCCTGCCACCAACACCATACTACACCAATTGCATACTACTGCTAGCAGCTACTCTGTGGCATATCCAAGGGTTTCAATCTTGCTGAGGACTGTTGTGGATGTCAATGTACCTGCACGACTAAATTCTGATTTTTTTCAGTTTGTTTTTTTTACCAAAAATACCTAAAAATTGCATACTTTATATAAGTAAAAACATTTCTGAAGTCGCAGAGTGATTCACTCAAAAAGTAGGAAATTCCTAATTAATGTTACCAGTCAATGTTGATCCAAGCTCCTACTGTGTTTGCATTATGACAGTCTTTAATTATATGATCTCACACTACTTTTCCACAGGATCCCTGCATCATTTGGTAGACAGAATGGAGAATTAATGAGCAAAACAATGTTTATCAAACACCATTCAAACCCTGTTCTGAAGACAGAACAATTTATTTTTTCATGAGCTTTTCTATTATTATTTATATTATCATAGCACTTAGATGCTGTAATCAAGGGACCCCATTGTGCTATGTGCTGTAAAAACAGAAAACAAAAGGATGGCCTCAATGTATCACTCATCCAAAAAAATCTTTAATATGAAAGGATGACTGTTACTTTCTGCAAGCCTGAGTTTCTGTTGCTCTTTTCTTTTGTATTGTCTAGACTGAGTCTATGTTCCTGTTTTAAATGAAGTCAATAGAGGGGCTGTTAACTCAAGTTGACTAACACAGCTGTACTCTAGAAACACTCCAAAAAGTTTGTTTCACCTTATCTTGGGCTTTGGAATAAATTACTGCAGAGTGCCTAGAGAAATATCTATAATGCTGCTCATTAGCTTCAGTTACCTGGCTGTCAGTTAAGCAGTGTTTCAGGCAACGCTTAAATACTACTAATTAAGGACCAGAGTCCATTACTTTAACTCATACTGGGGGCTGAGCACAGTTCCATATGAGTAAGAGTGACAAAATCTAATGCTGAATTCATATGAAACATATGCTGTGATATTTTCCTATCATCCCTGAATGAAATCCTTAATGAATCATTAGGGTTGTACTACCTCATAAATCAGTTGGTTTTGATTTCCTTTTCAGAAATGATTATCACCTTAATAAAATAACTTGAATCCTTCATTTCCATGAAAAGTAACCGCATTTAAGACATGCCATAATTTCTTGCATGCAACATGCCCTGGCATAAGATACATACCTTGTTTCTGAAAGGTAAAATGAAAAGAAAGCTCTTTCTTTGTTATAAGTAACTGAGCCGCATCAGCAAGAGAGCCAAGACTCCTCACTGATCTATTCCCCTGAAGCACATGCAGTTATTTGCACTTTTACCCAGCAGAAGATAAAGCAACAGAAACTGCCACTAATGTACTTCCTTGCTTACAATTCACACCCCAATTTTCAGCAATTGTTTGGTTTTTTTGGGGGGGAAGTATGTTGTATATGAAAAAATACAGTATTTGAACCCTGCAATGCTAGTATGAGCAATGACATGAGACAGTTCAATGACCTTTGTAGTAAAAATACGTCAACAATATCTATTTACTGCAAGATTATAGAAAATCACTTGCAAGAAACCAGTAAATGGGAGCTATTGTTCAGTGTCTTGATGTACAGTCAGAGCAACATGCCATTCCTGGGGTAACTGCACACCAGTCTAGATGCAAAACAATTTGCAAGCTTTTTATATAAGCATGTTATCCCAAGATTTTTCCAAGGCTAAAAATACATTTTGTTTTAACACCAGAATTAAGAATGGCATTAATTGCCTGTCAAATCTGAATATTAAAATATGCTAATATAATCAGAAAATATTATTGGAAATATTCTGTTAATACTTTAAAAAAAATCAAAGTTTGATATGGTCTCAAAAAACAAAAGAGAAATACAAAACAAAACAAAAATCGACAGCATTCCTCCTGCAGCAGGAAGCTTTGCAATTTGCCTCATCTCTAAAGAGAACCAATTTGTCCCAGTCTATCAGTAGGCAGCATTTCAGTATTTACAGATCTAAAAACATGTGGCTGGACAAAAGCTTTTTAATAGCTAGCTATTCAAAACAGTAGCTAAAGTAAACATGGCACTTTTTGTGTCAAGTTTCAAATGATTTTTGTAAAACCATCAATATTTTAGGGTTATCGTGGAATCATTAAATTTGGGGTTGGAAGGGACCTCAGGAGGTCATCCAGTCCAACCCCCTGCTCAAAGCAGGACCATCCCCAACTAGATCATCCCAGCCACGGTTTTGTCTAGCCGGGTCTTAAAAACCTCTAAGGATGGAGATTGTATCACCTGTCTGCATAACCTGTTCCAGTGCTTTATTACCTCCTTACCTCCTAGTGAGGTTTTTCCTAATATCTAAACAAAACTTCCCTTGCTGCAACTTGAGATCATTGCTCCTGGTTCTGTCATCTATCACCACTGAGAACAAGTCTAGCTCTATCCTCTTTTGAACCATCTCTCAGGTAGTTGAAGCCTGCTATTAAAGCACATCTCAGTTTTCTTTTCTCCAAACTAAATAAGCCCAGTTCCCTCAGCCTCTCCTCAGAAGTTAGGTGCCTCAGCCCCCAAACCATTTGTGTTGCCCTCTATTGGACTTTCTCCGATTTATCTACATACTTTCTGTAGCTGGGGACCCAAAACTGGACACAGTACTCCAGATATGGCTTCACCAGTGCTAAAGAAAGGGGAAGAATCACTTCCCTTGATATGCTGGCAACACTTTTACTAATGCAGCCCAGAATGCTGTTAGCCATCTTGGCAACAAAGACACACTGCTGGTTCATAATCAACTTATTGTCCACTATAACCCCTCAGGTCCTTTTCTGCAGAGCTGCTGCATAGCCAGTCAGTCCCCAGACTGTAGGGGCATATGGGATTGTTCCATCCTCAGTGCAGGATTTTGCACTTGTCTTTCTTGAGCCTCGTGAGATTTCTTTTGATCTAATTTATCTAGGTCCCCCTGAATTCTAGCCCTACCCTCCAGTGTATCTGCTACTCCCCCCAGCTTGACATCATCTGCAAACTTGCTGAGGGTGCACTCCATCCCATCTTCCACATCGTTAATGGAGATATTGAACAAAACTGGTCCCAGGACCAACCCTTGGGGCACTCCACTTGAGACTGGCTGCCAACTAGACACTGAGCCATTGACTACTACCCTCTGAACCTGATGATCCAGCCAGTTTCCTATCCACCTTACATATACCCACCATATCCAAGGCCTTGCTAAAGTCTAGGTATATCACATCCACCATTCTTCCTGTATCCACAGAACCGGACACCTCATCACAAGAGGCAATTAGGTTGGTCAGGCATGACTTGCCCTTGGTGAATCCATGCTGACTGCCCTAATCACCTTTTCCTCCACGTGCTTAGAAATTGATTTCTTGAGGACCTGCTCCATGATTTTTCCAATTACTGAGGTGAGACTAATTCCTTGGATACTCCTTCTTCTCACTCTTAAAGACAGGCACTATATTTGCCCTGTTCCAGTCATCCAGGGCCTCTCCTGATTGCCATGAGTTTTCAAAGTTGATGGCCATTGGCTCTGCAATTACATCAGCCAACTCCCTCAGCACCCTCGGGTGAAACCCATCCAGGCCTATAGACTTGTACATGTCCAGCTTTTCTAAATAGTCCCTAACCTGTTCTTTCATCAGTGTCAACAGCTGACCTCCTCCCCAAACTGTGCTGCCAGATGCAGTAGTCTGGGAGCTGACCTTGCCTGTGAAGACTGAGGTGAAAAAGGCATTGAGCACTTCAGCCTTTTATGCATCATTTGTCACTAGCTTGCTTCCCCGATTCAGTAAGGGACTTGCATTTTCTCTGATCCACCTCTTGTTGCCAACATAATTGCAGAAACCCTTCTTGTTACTCTTCACTTCCCTTGCTAGCTGTAACTCCAGTTGCGCTTTGGCCATTCTGATTTCATTCCTACTTGCCCAAGCAATACTCTTGTACTCCTCCCTAGTTGTTTGTCCAAGTTTCCACTTCTTATAGCTTACTTGCTGTGTTTTAGCTTGCTAAAAAATTCCCTGCTAAGCCAAGCTGGTCTTCTGACATGCCGCTTGTCTTTCTGCACCTCAGGATGATTTGTTTCTGGTACTGAGCTACAGGTAACTTTGCCTTTTTAAAAGTCACTTATATTCTTTATTTATTACTTATCATTTAAACCTTTTAAATAAGTAATATCCATTTTCAGTTTTATATTGCTTAAATAACTATGTAACT